CACCGGCCTATCTGAACCATGGACGAGAGCTGGCCGGACCGCTCTCCATGGAACGCGGCCGACTAGCACCCGTGGGGTCACCAAGTACGATTCAGCGGCAGCAGAACGAAGCCTACGAGCTCGTCCGCATCAATCTAGCACGGGCCTTTCAGCACCAGGAACACCACTACAACCTGCGGCACCGAGCCTGGCGCCCCCAGGTAGGGGATCAGGTGTGGAAACGCGACCACCCCTTGTCCGACAAGACACGGGCCTTCAACGCGAAGCTTGCACCCAGATATACGGGTCCCATGGAGGTGCGCCGCATCATCTCCCCGGTCATAGCCGACCTCCGGGATAAACAAGGACACTGGTCCGGGGAATTCACGTGCGAGACATGAAACCCGCCGGCCGCGATGAACACAGCAGCGACAAACCCCAGGGCCCGGGGATTCCGCGAGCCGGCCCTGAGCGCGCCGCGACCCGACCAGTAGGTCCGCCGCGCGCCGCTAGGCGGCGCTCGTCGGGCACATACTCGCAGGTAAATTTCGAGAGTCGAGGATATATAAGGTCAACGACCCCTCGGAGCGAGAGACTGTCGAACACGCTCCGACACAATAAACGACGACGAGCAGGTTCTACAAGAATTGATCCGGCCGATGACGCCACAGGAGGCAAGCGCCACATGGCAGCGCCTGCTGGCCGGGAACGGGGCGCAGGAAGCTCCCCCAGCCAGGAAACCGCCGGTACACGCATCCGCACGGCGACCGGTGCCCCGAGTGGGGACCTCTATCCAGAGGTCCCGCGACGCCGGCGAACGGAAACTGCTGGCCCTGGCCGGGTACGCCCCCCCCCGCCACCCACCGGGCGCCCCAGAGGCCGACCATCCGTCCGGCCCGTAAGCCAGGCCACCGGCAAACGACCGCCGGCCACACCGCCGACCAGTGCTCACCCGGGTCCCAGAGTTGTCAAGGAGGAGACGCCGACCCGTAGGGTGATTTTACTGCCACCGCCAGTGCGCCACGCACCACCAGCCGCCCGGTCCAACCTCGCCTGGGTGAGGACCGCTGCCCCCCCTACCACGCCACCGGCACCTCCACCAGCGCCACCAGCGGCGACGGGCCGGGGAGGCGTCCCCCGATCCGTCCAGAGTCGGAAGGCGTTCCTGAACGAGCTGTTCGGGAGCGACTCGGCGGGGAGCAGCCGAGAAACATCTCCAACAACGAGGCCACGAGATGGACCAGGGCCCCCTCGACCTTCTCCCCCCCACCAGCAAGGGGGGAAGCCCGGAACCCCGGGTCCTCGTCGAGAGGTGACCTTACCAGACGGTACCCGGGTGACGGTACCTCTCACCGCCACCTTGCGCCAGCGGGCCTACTGGGTCCACGTCGGCAGCACCCGGTGGATCCTCCATTTCAAGGAAGAAGCTCTTGTCCGGGCACGACGAGCCGGGCCCAATACTAGCGAGGGGGTGATGTAACGAGGCGTTCCCACCTCGTTCCTAGTTTAAGTAAACCTATAGTCATATCCTAATCAAGTATTCTAGTCTGTTTCGTTTCATTGTTCTCGACCGTTGTCGAAATTTAAAATATATTTATGTTACGTTCTCCCGCTGTACTTAATTTCGCTGCCCGACACCCGTTAGACTACTAGCACGCCGGGAGCCCGGTAGTCCTCCCGACCGCCGCTACGCGGCGCGAACGCGAGGTTGGGGCAGCACTCGCAGGTAAATTTCCGCGGCCGCCTCTATAAAAGGGGGGCTCGCGGAACCATCGAGACGAGTTCACCGCCGGTCTCCTAGGAGACCAGCACAGGAGCGTGACACCGCGAACTCAGCCTCTCGAGGCACACCAGTTCCAGACGACGACGTGCCGGGTTTCGGCCGCCGATCGAACTCAGCGGAGAGCGTGTCGGGCTTCGACCGTGACTCCCCA